GAGCTTAGTTGGTCAGGGCTTCATCCTACAGCAAGATAAAGACCCAAAACCTAAATCCAAGCTGTGCCAGAACTACCTCAGGAAAAAAGAACAAGATGGTGAGCTTGAAAACATGGAGTGTCCAGCACAGTCTCCAGACTTAAACCCCATCGAGCTGGTTTGGGATGAACTGGACAGAAGAGTGAAAGCAAAGCAACCTACAAGGTCCACATTTATGGGAACTTCTGCTACAGATATGGGAGAATATTCAATTTCTATTGTAGAAAGAAGCCACGACTGTGTTCAGCTGTTATATCTGCCAAAGGGGGCGACTTTGATGAGTCAACCCTTTTTTTTAAGGCACTATACAAGACTAAGTTATTCACGATAATAATTTAAAGCACCTTCAGGACTTGTGATTAATGATTTGGCATGATATAAATAAAACTGGGGTGTAATGTCCCCAAGTGACTTAATTTCTTGTCTCATAATGTTACATGCAGATGTTTCCAGATGGAAAATACATACTGTTTGTCCTCATCTCAAACCCCATTCACTGTGAAACCATGCACAAGATTACCTCTATCATATATACTCTTTGAATAATTTTTTGCTGATTCCGGTGCCTCTGCCTCTTGTTTATTTTACACGTTATGCCCATATTTTAACTACATTTTTGTCTGGCATCATCTGCCTGCTAGCCCTCAAATCTCTTATGTATAATTTCCAGAGTAAAGCAAACAGGGTTCTTTCCAGCACAGCTTGAGGATGGCCCCGGGCAAACTTCCACTTTTGATGGTCAGCCTGTCTTTGCTTGGGATACCCCACAGGAGGAAAGAGCTAATTTCCTTGTGCTGCTTCTGTGGAAGCTCTGCTCCTGCGCTCATGTTGGGTTGATGCCAGGCAGATTCACCTGAGACTGGTTGAGGCTGGACTAGTCCATGCTGCCTTGTGTTTACCACCTGGGCTGCCATCTAAAAAGCGTGGAAAGCTAGGGCCCAACACAGCAGGAACCCTGATTTTGTGTGTAGCTTACTCCACCAAAAAAAACCTTGTAATGAATAGCCACTCAATTTGTAGTCTTATATTTTAAAGGACTTGTTCTATAATGAGAATCTGGATTTAATGTTAATCTTTTGGGCCTGGCAGCGGGATAATAAAGTGTGGTATTTTTTAAAACTATATTCTAGAGTTCCAGTTCATTTGTGCTCCTCACATCTTTGCCAAAGGAAGTGGAACAGCTGTAAGCTTTAAAAAAGACATTTTTATGCCCAATGATCCGTTTGAGCTTTCACAGCTCTTTTAAGGTTGATAATGATCAAAGTGTTTATTTTAATAAACACTTTCTTGCCATTCTCAATCAGGTCACTCCTTACAATATAGCCCTTGCTCTGTCAATTTCCACTCACCCTGGTTAATTAATAAAACTTGCGGCCTTATATATTTCCATCGAAAAGCAGGATGACTGCGGAAGTCCCGAGGTTTGGTTGTCTACTGTGAACACTTCAAAGAGCTCATTCACTCTTACTCGCTCGATCCTCTTATGTCAGTAATCTTGCTATAAGAATAATTTCCATTTATCATTGGATACTATCAACTGTATTGTTTCTCCTCCATCTCAGCACGCTTTGTTACTTTCTGATGATGATTGTAACACATTTATCAATCACTTAAATCACATAAATAATGTGATGTCCTCAAACTGCTTCCGTTCGGTGCCTTGAGTCATTTATTTGGCTTTGCTAAGGTAACTCCTCTACTAAAGAAACCTAGCCTTGTTGACAGCTCTATTGGTAACTATCAGCCTATTTCACAATTAGCAAATTATCAGAAAAATTGTAAAAAGCTTGTTCGAATCTTAAGTATGTCATGGTGATGGAAGCCAACAGTAACACGGAACAACTATTTCCCTTTTTATTAAAAACCTCAGTGTGGACAACCACTGTCCTCCTGCAGTGTGTCATATATGCAGTAAAATGTTTCACATACTTTACCACTGTGTTGTTGTGAGAGCGGTATTCTTTTATAGCAGCATCAGTCACTCCGCTCCTCAATGTGCACACTCTCCTTTATTGTAGCAAAATCTCAAATATTATTTAAATTCTACTTTTTATATATAAATATATAAAATAGAGAGAATCCTTCATGTAAGTAAAAAATATGTTTATTTTTGTTAGACCCCCACATGCACTTACAGTAGTTGTTTAACACTTTTCCATTAAAGTGTTTATGTTGCTCATCTACAATGGACTTATAGAATTAATTACCTACTTGAAAAACAGCCAGTTTCTCATGTCTGACACAGAAACATGCAAAATAGATACACAAAGTTGAAATGCAACTAATACAAAACCATACTTTTCCAAACTCTATATTTCTCTGATATAATTTCAGTTCCAACAGCAGAATCCATCATGCGCCCCGGGAAAAGGCTGGACTATCCTAGGAGGACAATGACACAAGCACAAAAAGAAGACAGTACTGTTATTTAACTGGTCATGTTGCAATCCTGGTACCATCATCATCCTTCAAATGCATTTATTTCCAACTTCTACTTAAACTTTGAGTATTTATATTTCATTCTAAACTAAGTGTCAATCAACATAAATGTGTTCTGCAAATTATTACTTGGCGTACTTTATTGTATGAACAAAAGTGGACGGTCCAAAACATTTTTACAATGAATAGTGTGAAGAAGGTCAATGTTTAAGGCAAAGCTGAGATAGTTTGGACATGTGCAGAGGAAGTTGGTGTGATGGAGGCAGATGAAGGCTCAATGCTGTGCCAACCCCGAAAGGCAGCAGCCCGAAAGAATAACAAGTGAGAAAACACATCAACACAATTGTCATGTTGTCAAGTTAAGAACTTGTAGAAAATGTGATTGCACATTTAGTCAAAATCCAACTGCATGCACATTTCTAAGGGTTGACATGTTCTAATGCTCTGTATTTATTTAACGAATTTAATTGAAATTTGTGTTTTGCTTCTCCGACTGCAGTCCTACCTCTTCCACTATTGCATCCCAAGCCACTGGCATTTCCTATTCGATCGATCCTGGCTCCAAAACAGCCAGAGGTGCGTTTCCTGGTGGCCATCAGCAGGTCCTGGAGGCGGCTCCTCTGATTCACAGTCTTGCCCTCAGTTAGTGGTTGGGCTTTTTCAGATATCAGAGGTTCTTGGTTCCCCTCTTGGTCCCATCCTTGGCTGGCCTGGCTGGTTTTGGGCTCTTGGTTCATGTCTTCATAATAAGCTTCCAAGTCTTCTTTCTGGACCACTTCATCCAATGTCTCCTCAAAGCGTTCCAGCAAAGACTGTTGTAGAAATCATAAAGCATCTAACAAATCAGGTGGGACGTGCAAGTGTGTGTGTGTGTGTGTGTGTGTGTGTGTGTGTGTGTGTGTGTGTGGGTGTGGGTGTGTATACATAATGAGGGTGACAGGCTGCAACAACACCCCCCTGGGAGCCAGAGTCAGGTCCATTAGACCATGAGACCCAGGCTGTCCACGGACCCCCAAGAATAGTGAAGACCTGAGGCCACACATCTCGATGACAACCACGTGAAGGAAGAGGGAGGCTCCACATGGAGCCCCCACTGCCAAAGGACAAGGGCCCCAGAGAACCAATGGGTAACCAACCCCACAAGAGGCCGGCCATCCCAGCGTGAGCCAAAAGAAAGGTCCCAGGTGATGAGAATTGTTTGTCAACCCTTGTTTAAAGGACAATAGTGGACTTTTAGAATGAGATGAAGTTGCTGAACCCTGACCTCCAGCATCTCAAATCAGTTGGTTTAGCTATAAACTTTGGCGTGTAACTGTAGTGTGAGGAATTTATTGACAGTGGGGGTCTGTCTGTCAGAAAATGAGGAGGAAAAGCTGCCTCAGCTAAGTAAACAGGAAGCAACAGTTAACCCAGCTGACTCTCACACTGGATCCAGTGTGAGAGATTATTACACCTCACAGAATCTCAGTTCCTATGCTATGTTTCTTCTGCTAATACTGATACTATAGTGTACACTGCAAGCTTTTAAATACAGACCTTATGGTGCAAGCAAGTGTTTGCGATATAAAGGATGAGTATGACTGTATGAAAAATAGAGTGCTTTTAAAATTGACAGTTGTGACATGAGCACCCGACAGCTGGTCAACAATGCTCACACTCAGTGCCTCAGGTGCCGATTAAATTGAAAAACACACAGCAGTGACGAGTTGTGTGGGGCCACCAAGGTAGCCAGGAAAGACCCAGTTCATCAGCTGATCACACTATGAACCAAAGGCTGCATACTTTCAAAACCATGGTGGATGTTTTTATTGCCTAATTTAATAGGTATGCATAACAGCATATCAGGAATAAAGGTGAAGGTTTTGTTCATGTGTTGTCAGTGCTGTGTCAGAGTCACAGCAAACTCCTTAACCTCTTAAGCCCCAACGCCCCCTGATACGGGGGCAAAAGGCAGGAGATCAGTTAGGCTTGGGGCTTAAGAGGTTAATAACTGTCTACTTCAGCCGCAGCTAAACCACAGCTTGTTATTCTGGAAGCAGAGAGCTCTAATTTCTAGTTCACCTCAGCTAATTATAAGATGAAGGAAGAATGAAGATGAAGGTTTTGATGAAGTTAAAATTACAACTGAAAATCAGGAGAACAAAGTAAAGCTGGTATATCTTTGAGATCAGATCAATGTGAGGTCACACTCTAATGATAGCTACTTGTCGACATTGTGTTGCTTTGTTTGTAATCGCCTGATCTGTTGTTGTGTCCTCTTGGTGTCATCACAACAGTCAACATTTTATCTTGTTATGCCCTCTCAATATTCACAAATCCATAGAAAAGCATGTCAACACATGATCTGATTTAAACTCTTTACTTTGTCAAGCAAAACATAAATCAGTTATACTGGACTGGATGCATTTGTGCAATTATAAAATGCTTGTAGCATTCCTACAAGCATTCTATAATTGAAGACACTGATACCAGTGAAACTGCCTTTGAATGATTTTTAAATGTTCTAACAACAGGAAATATGTTATTCATGCAACTATTTTCTCATCTTTGACCCTCTCTCTGTTTGAATATCAAAGTACCTGACCCTTCACAGTGTAATGTTTTCACAAATGGTGTGTTGATTACAGGTGTGACGTGGTTTCTTACCTTGAGCTGAGCCAGGTCATTAGCAGATGAGGGCCTCCCCAGTATGTGGCTGCTAACCAGTGTTTGCTGACACAGCAGGGCCAATACACCCCACAGAACCTCAGTTCTCATGTTATGTTTCTTCTGCTAATACTGATACTATAGCATGCACTGCAAGCTTTTATATACAGACTGGCTCACATACACAACCATCTACATACACTTACCATGCGCCAGACAGGCAGTGCCATAATTTTGTAGACGGCCCCAAGTGCATTCTGACACCTCTAAATGATAAGGCCGCTGGTCAGATGTCTCTTTAAGTGGCGTTTGGTGGTAAGTGACGTGTGTGTGTGTGTGTGTGTGTCTGTGTGTGTGTTTGTGTTTGTGCATGTGTCTATGTATACAGTATAGGTGTCTGTGTATCATCATGCCTACCAGTCAGCAGTGGCATGACCTAAGGAGCCATCTTGGATCTCTGAGCTGTGTATTGGGAAGAATGCAGTTTCACTATGCAAATACTTAACACTGTCTACACTCCTAAGAATGAAACGTACCATAGTAGGTTAAAACTGCTGCTCATGGTTCCATGGTTTAGATTAGGACAGGAAGGAAACAATGTTATAGTCAAAGGAATATAAACAGTATCTTGAATATGATTTATTACCATAACTGAAGGCATTTCTTCCTGTCATGAGTTTGTAAGGTAGGAATAATACAGCCTATAATCTAAAATTATAGGCTGTATTATGAACAGGCATGAACAGGCGGTATTATAGAAAAGAAGAAGCATATACTGTGAGTATGTTTCAATAATAGGTGGCCTTTAATAGAAAGTAGACAAGAATTACATGGACTCAACTTTCAAGAATCAATTTACATGTTTTATAACAAACAAGTAATTTTCACATATTTGAAGAAATATTTACAAAGTAAATATTTGGGTTTTAATGTTTATTCGGTGAGTTAAGAGTTACACAAACACCATGTTCTCATTTTACTGTAACTCCACAGTATTAATCAGACAAATCAGAGCCTGAGGTCTCTATTAGTTTCTAGGGTCTCCTCGTCTTTGCAGTCGCACATTTTGGAAGTGCAGACTTTGATGCACTATGATAAGAGATTGCATCTCATGGGTGGAGCTTTGCCTTGTTCCCTCATTCAGAAGGCACATAAATGGCACATGTAATAAGGGATGTGCTTCACACAGACCCCTAATAATCCTGCACATTTGAATTCTAAGGAGTCATTTTAAATTCCTTTTTGGAGAAAATTAAAAAGCAATTAAAAAAAATCACATGGTCTCTCAAAACTAAACAAAACTGAAATAAATAAATAATATTTAGAGAATCATTCGTTTCATTTTGCTGAGAAGACTAATGCCATTGTCATGCTCAGACCTCATGTTTAAAACATACAAAAACTTTTTTTTTTATTTGCTTTTGCTTTTTCTTTACACTCTTGGTATGGGACAATCCTCCAAGGCTGACCAAGCTCCCAGAGGACTTTGTAGGACCTATGATGTCTTTCAGAGCTAGAGCCGGAGAATTATAGGGAATGTAAAGTATTTGGGCAATAAAAGATGAGATTTATGTGGCTTTGCAGCATTACAGATGTGCCACATATACTTGCACAGTGGGACTTTAGCTGCCTTCAGGCTTTGGGCAGACAAGGACATTAATCTGAGTGGTAAGAAGGAATATAAAGGCAGTGCACTGGGTGTGATTGAAAAGTAATGTGATCCTGGACATGCTTCTGCAGGAGGTGTCTCTGTGGCCTGATGGTTGAACTGCTAGCTGTTGGAATGCATTTAAATTACCCAGAATTCATCATTGTTGTTGCTGTTTGAATCCACTTCAGACCAATACAGTTTGGACTCCTTTCCATCATTTGAGGAACAGGCTAACCAAATGACTGTGGCTGTGGTGAATGGATGTGGATCCTGACCACCCAGCTTTTGCGTGCTCTCTCATGAAAACAGAGCCAGGAGAGCCTGAAAGAGCGTAATGTCATGGCTTGATGCTTTGACTTTATGAGAACTCCAAACAACAAAAATTAAAGCAGTGACTGCAGTCAGCAGTTCAAAGCTGGGCGACCTTCATTTGGTTCCAGTTGCAGCAGCTGTGCTTCAGATGGGACTGAGCTGGGAGCACATCCAGTTCCTCTTCATGGGATGGGAATGGGGTGGCTGAGAACCAGCTGAAACTTTAAACAGTGATTGCTTTTAGCACTGAGTGAGTTATGGGCATATTCACAAGACAACTATGGCCATCAAAGTTATGGATTGTTATGGATAATTCAACCACAGGCTGCTGCTACTTCCTGCTTTCTTCTTTCAATCTGTCCATTTGTCTGACGGTAGAATCCAAAGCACTTGCTCTTGTATTATTATACTGTGGTGGACCACTAGAGGGCTCCACTCACACCAAGTGTTGAGGAAGTGTGTGTTGCTGTGTTTTGTGGCGGGATGTGTTCAGTTGATGTTGGAGAGGAATAAAGAAGGAGTGAGAATTAAGAGCTCTGTGTCGTCCATGCTTACCTCCACAATACAGTCTTTATCTTACAATTTAAAGTGCCTTGAGTCAACTGTTGTTATGATTTGGTGCTATATAAAATTGAATTAAATTTAATTGAAATTGGAGGCTGAGGGAGCTTCTTCAGGGCCACACAGTGAGCTGCCTCAGAGAACCTGTACACAGTGGTTAATATAACTGTCTTTCCATCTGAGAGGAGAAAATCAGTGATAAAATCCAAAAAGATGTATGACAAGGACCTATTTGGAATTGTTAGTGGGTGAAGGAGAAATGTGGGGGAGGCAGGAACATATTCTTTAACACTAATGAAGGACAACAAAAATGTTGTTTAAGAAAAGAAGTAGTTCTACTTACCCAAAGGTAGCAGGCAAACCTAGTGATGTGGTCCCAGTGGAAGCTGGGAAGGAATGCCATGGTGGTAATTTCAGTTCTTAAAAAAAAAAGAAGTTCCAAATACAACAAAAGTTGCCTCGAGATGCTGTAAGGTAAAAGTCTTCCATCACCGGTACAAGCGGTACATAGTGGACAAATTGAATCTTCTAAAAACAAGAACCATTGTGTAAGATTGGGGTTAAAACTTTTAGCAGTCTGCAGGTAGGAGAGAAATTGTAGTCTGTTGTCCAGCTGGACCTGAGGTGGGGTCAGGCTTCACTTGTCACCCTCGAACAGGATTTAGAAAAAAGTAGAGGAAAATCCCAATCTAAACACAAAGATGAAGATGCTAAAGAAGTCTCTTAGGACATCTTTTCTGAGGGTTTGAGACACTGTAGAGGGATCGGTTAACCCAAACAGCATACGAGGTATTTGAAATGTCCCAGTGGAGTTTTAAAACAATTTTCCATTCATCTCCATCTTGGATTCAAACCAAATAATTCATTTTTTAAAACCCAGTTTAGTAAATAATGTTGCAAAGATCAGAAGACAGAGCTGATTAAAGGCTGTGGATACTTACTCTTGACAATGGTTTGGTTAAAGTTCTGTAATCTATAGACGGCATGAGTGTTTTTGTTGCACATTCTACTTGCACATTATACTTCAAACAGACAATAAAGAAGTACACTTAAAATAAAATAACGCTGAATATGACAAGAAAACTATTATATACTCTTACTATAACTAAAAAACACAACTTTTCCTCAGATCCCCAGACTCTTGAATGATGCACATGGTTCATGGTTCATGACAACCACTTCAATAAAACCTTAAATCTAAAATAATAAATCGATAAACCACCCCGCCATTTTCTTCTGCTTCTGTGAAGTTGGGCTGTAGGGGCAACAGTCTAAGCAGGGAAGCCGAGACCCGTCTGTCACCAACCAGCTCCTCCAGCTTATCCAGAGAAACATCAAGGCATTCCCAGGCCAGCCGACAGATTTCTCCAGCATGTCTTGGAGAAATCTGGCCTCCTCCTGGTAGGACATGCCCAACCAAACATGGCTGCCTAACATTTGGGACACAACAATTTGCTGCCATTGGGCATCCATTAAAATGAAAGCAATTAGATTAAACGAATAGTACCTCTGGTGCCCACTCGTTACAATAGCAATGATTAGTCGTCTAGTCGTGCACGTGCCTAGTATACTACTAGACGAAGAGATTTTTAAGATGGGTTGTCAGACCCAACCCATCAAAAAATATCCATAAAATTCTGATTTTTTTTGGAACTGAGATGTTTATTAACCCTTGTAACAAAATCCACAAATCTTTTTCTTTTCCTACATAATGTTGTGCATGATATATGTTTATTATATATTTATTATATATTTTTTGTATCCCATTTGATACATTGGATGTTTTGGCAACTTTTTGTTAACAACAATGTTAATTTTAGACAAAAAATGAGTTCTGTCCATAAGATTTTGAAATTATGGCAAGTATTGATCATGTTGATAAGATAGAGGTCTCAGAAACTCATATTAAATATGATACAAAGGGCATTATAGGGTTAAGACCCTGTTCAGTGCCTGTAACAAGAAATCGCATGTGATTTTTCTTCCCGCTTTGTTATTTCTAAAAGGGGAATTTATTTTAACAAGCTGGGGACTTGTAAAGTGTGGTGGAGTCAGTGTGAGTTGTTATACATCTAGTGGAAACAATCAATATATCAATCAGTCAAACAGCCATCTAAACCATGTGGCCATGAAAGGTGGTTTGAACCTTCTAAAAAAGTCAGCAAATTCAAATTCACTGATGATGATGTAATTGTAGTTTTAATCAGTGGAGCTCCTCACAGATGATGGAGTGCTAAGCTGTACTGTAATTCACTGTACATCACTTCCTTGTTAGAAAGCGTTTAATCAACCTCGAAGACACAATCAGGTGTCAAGCTAAGATTGTACACACTAAACTACTCAGCTGATCAGCAGTAACGCACTGGCAGGGAAATAAATGGGAATGGAAAATCATTATCACCAATAAACAGTTCAGCATATTAATCAATGTTGTTGAGTAATGATCTGTGTCAGATCATTACTCTTTTTTTATGAAGACAGAAAAATAAATCTGTTATCAAATGAATTCTGTATATAAACGTCCTGCATAGAGCTCCCTGCTGCTGTTAGTTACTCAGAATGACAAGAGCTTCTTCATTAAGACAACACTGCATGTTTCAGTGTGTGTTTTTATATTTGATAGTTCAAAGGAAAAGTCTCCCGTACATTTGTGCCTTTTTGAAATATGTTGGCTGTGTCTCAT